ACAGGGGCTCCATCTGTCACTGTGGTGGGTTTATCTGAATGAAGACGTCAGAACCAATGACATAAAAGTGACCTAAGAAAGACAGAATGTCATCACTTCAAAGGATTGATGAAATGAAACTCAGTTTATCTGCAGTTTTTGAGTGGAAATCATTCATTAAACGAGATGCTGCCACCGTTTATCATCCGATATTTCACAGGCACACTGTTTGCACACGAGTACCAGAAAGATGCCAAGTTCACCTGAGGAGCTGGTCTGTACACTGCGATTGATGTTTACAACAGACAGTTTAGGTGCTAATTTTAGTCAGCGTCTGTTCCCTTCCAAATACGTTTGGTCAACCTGAGGGTTAATACTCCTCCTGCTTGGATTTCATTGCACGTGCAAAGTTGTTAATTATGATATAAATAAAATAACCTCAACAATAACCACTTGCAGCAGTTTGGAATGGTTGCAAAACTCCTTCAAAACTCCTCAGAAGGACCCCTATGAAACAGATTTGAACAAAACAGCAAGTGTGTCTGCCATAGTTCCTCTTAGTCAAGGCAGGTTGTTGGAGACTGTGTGCTCTGTTTACTCCAAGTTTCAGCTGCTTCTTGTAATTCAACACTCACCCACCCACAGACACACAAACACAGAACCTTTGAACTGACCTTGGATTTACTTTATCCCTCCTAACAAACAAACACTTCAGTTTCACAAGGAAAGAAACAGAATGTGAAGAAGCCAGGACGCGTTAATTATGGGCCAACAATTTCTTGCTTGACCATCTCTGATTTTCCTGAACATTTTTAGCATAATATATTGATATGTAGAAGGATATTTGCATAAGTTTAACATTTTCAAACATATTCTGCAACAGCTTTTTTGTTTAAACTGCTCATCAACCCACTTTCAGCACATTTTTCAACCACTGAAAGTTAAAGCCATGTTTAGGTGACACCATCTCAGCAACTATTAAAGATAAAAGCCTGAAACCTTTACTGTGATTTCTCATCATGCCATTGATTCAGAATCTGCAATACTGGACAAGTGAATTAAACAGTCTCCGATTATGGCCGAGTTAAAATATGAAAAAACTCAATCTATCATGAGAAGTCCCATCGTCGAGCACACAACAACTAATAAAAAACTATATGCAGAAATTAACGAGTGATATTTTCTGAGCCACATGCAGCTGCATGTCACTATATAACAAAACATATGGAATATTCTTTTAATTTAAAATACTTAGTCAGAAAAAGGAAAAGAAAGTACTTTGTGTTTAACTGAAGCGATGATCAAGCAGATCAAGTTGTGACAAAACAAAACCAAAGCCGATAAGAGTGTTTTGTTTTTTTTAATAATCACAGAAAGCACTTGATATATCAATCTAAAATTTCAGATACTATTTCAAATTTCTATAGTTTATGATTTAAAAAAAAAAAAAGTTTGAAGCAAATCAGAGGTAGTTGAGCAGAAGACCTCAGATGGTTTGAGATGGAATAACCGCAAGGTTTGTGTACTTTTATCTCTCATGTTGTGAGATCAGATTTGTGTATACACTCAGTCAGCTTTATGTTGGGACCTAAACAGTCCACCTTAGAAAATTAATCAAGAAATCTACAGCTAACAATGGTGTTTAAGATAAGTTTCTAATGATTTTCATTCATGCCAACTTGTGCTTCCTCATGTCTTCTCTCGTAGCACATCTCAGCACCATTCTGCTTTAGTGAAAAAAACTCTTACTAGTGCATATTTCTTTAAGTCAATCACAAGTAATCTTGGGTGGAACTTAGCGAAGGATGCAGCTTCAGTTTTCCCTTAAAATAATGACAGGTGGGATTGTTTTGGTGGAACATTTGCATTGTGGGAAGTGAGCACTCTGATTAAAATGGGTAATTCATTGCAAAAAAACTAGTAATGCTGCCTCACAGCAGGATCCAGATCTTTTGCAAAACCTGGACTTTGCATTGTGGTGGGTCGATAGCCAAGAAGTGGTTGTTTTCTGTAGTGAAGTGGATTTTGAAAACGATAACACACAGATAATCTAAGGAGAGGAAAAGCCGGATTAAACAAATCCTCAACGGCAAGCTTGTACCTGCATCCTACATGCTGCAAGTCAGACTGCTTCCGATCCGGAAAGCTACACCAGCATTTGAATTCCTTCAATGCACCTGAAGTAGACTAGGAGGTTTTTGGAGGAGCAAAAACATGTGAATCCTACATCTCACATTCTCACTGGAAGGAGCTAAGGAGGGGCTGCAAGTGCAGGAATCAAGGGCACGTGTTGGCATAAAGAAAACACCCAGTGAGGTGACAGAAACATGGCCGTGTGAGTGTGTGCACTGACTGTTTGAAAGCTGGCAGGTAGGAGTAGATGGCAATACTGCTGAGGTTGTAGATGAAGGGCAGGTGTTTGGAAATATCTGCTGTGGCCCAGGTGTTAAAGAAACTGTTGAGAACCCCCTGATCTCCACCTGCAGACACACACACACAAACACACATTTAGAATAATCATTTCAGACATGATCATCTCTGATTATAGCAGAGCAAAACGACAGCTGGATGGGACAGGACAAGTGAGATTGATTGCATTTTCCCCAACGTCAATGACATGTAAAGAGCAGTCATCGCATTTATTTTTGCAGCTTCCTTAAGAGGATTGGTATTCTTTCTTTTATTCCAGGAATATTCACCTCATCCGTCTGTGCTGTAAGACTCAAGGCAGTAATTGAATAAACCATCGCGAACACATTCTGTACATTCTCACAGACTGTCCTTTCTGATATGTAAAAATAGAAATGGAAAAGGAGTGTTGACAAGGCTGGAAGAAGATGTTGCATTCGGTTGGCAAGAAAAACAGCTGCGGTATGGTGTGAAGTGCAGCTGAAGGGCTGAGGCTGTGAGAACAAGAGTAGGCCGAGCTGGAGGAGAAACTCTTTGAATTTAGCTCCTCACTAAGCCGTAGACATTGTGTTTAAACTAACCCGAGATCGCACCCATCACAAACAGAGCTTTTAAACGAAAGCCATGTATTCTGCAACAAGTCAAGTGTTTCCTGTAACTTCAGTGAGGCAAGATAAGCTTTACTTCTCCTTGTCAACCACTAAATTAGAGTATTCATACCAGCAAGGGTTTCTTCACTTGCTCACTAAATACAGGCTTGTGCAGGCCCAATGTTAGAGGCATAGTAGCTCGAAGGACAGCAATCACATCCATCCCTTTGGTTCAGACTCAAATATCTCAACAGTTACAAGGACACTCATGGTCAACTTAATGAAGAAAGAAGTCTATTCCAGC